AAAAAATATTCACTACCCTGTATGCAAAATCTATATAAGAAGCCCCTGGCTTCTATTAAAATGGTGCAATGCAACAGAGAGCATGCAACTTCTAATAGAGTATCTACACATATAAGAAAAGTGAATTTGTGGTTTTGAATTGTTCAAAACAAATTAGTGCGACTTCTATTACTAGTACTTAGTAATGGGGATTCCAATACAGATATAGTATAATTATTTTTTGCATTTTGCCTATTTTCCAATCCAAAATGGCCACCAGATTTGAGAATAAACACTATAAAAATATTTCATTGATGGAATCTTTTCATCATCAAAATGTCTTATCAAATTGTTTTCAAAATTTGTTATGACATAATTGCATTCATTCTAAAGTACAATGTCGCATTCTAATTTGTATTTGTTTATTTGCAGTTCTTTTTATGGCGTCCTTAGTGTTACTGACTGCGTGTACAATCTGGCTAACATTGTACCCAACAGAACTTGTTGCTAATTTTATGCAGGTATGCATAATTACAGATGTATATCACAGTTCTTTCACTGGTGGCATAGTATTTCCACATTCCATATGCAAATGAGGTCTGAGAGCAAATAAAGTAGTTCTTTCAGGAGTACCGTTAAAATAAACAATATTTAAAAGTATAATATTTTTCCCTTGGGGTATATGAATATACTTGTCAAGTGAAATGAAATTTGAACAACAGTATTTTTAGGCAGTCACTTATTTCGACTAAAACTAATTTGCATATCACCCATGCAATAATGTTTTCGGTATTTTCACAGTCAATATGCAAATGACATGGTATTTCCATTGGCAACCAAACTATTTTTATTTTGTAAACACATTTTCATCTGCTATTTTTATCCGGTTTAAATCGTTCAGCAACATTTTTGGTATATCATGTGTACATCACATGGAATACTGCGATTTGGAGAACTTAATGTATGTTGACCACCTGAGTTTTATAAAGGGCACTCGGAAGATCCACCATCAGTGATTACTAGAGATGCGGTGTATTCTGCTGTACTTTCACTCGCTTCTCTCTTGAAAGTATGGCCGCAGGATACACCGCATTACTCATGAAAATAGCTTCCATACGCAATGAAATCCACAAGGAGGGTGTGGGGTTCTGTCATAGTACATACTTTTATTTAATGTTGGCACAGAGCCGCCCAGGGGCTTGCGGCTTTGCTCTGGTTGCCTTTCGAGCTGGCCCTAAAACTGGCTTACAATGTATCTGTAAAAGTATGCCTGTATTGTACTACTGTAAGGTCATCACCAAAACATTTTGGCATTTTTAACAACCATATTTAATCTATTACAAACGCAAGGAATAACAAATACTTATTAAATTCCTATAATTTCTGTGTAACTGCAGTTCTACACGTGCTTGGTTTGTTGGCATTCCCTGCAGTTGCCTTCCCATTTATAAGATTGGATGTGTGGTGGCATTATATAGTGTTTTGGAAAAAACAAACGAATGAAAACAAAATTTTCAGCTTAAGTAATTATGTGAACAATTGTGTGTTTTGTATGGTTTGTATTCAGCCTCTGTCAGATGTGTGTATTTAAATTTCTTTTTCTGTATTAATCTTCTAGCTGATGTTTCCTGAAATGCCATTTAAATTTCGATGTGTGATTCTAGCGTTTGCAGCTGGTAACCTCGTTGCTAGCTTCTTTATTGAGGTGAGTGGATGACTTTATAGTTGCTCTAATGTCAACGTGCCGCATACTTGCTGCCTGAGTAGCGTCAATTCCTTCCCTACTTCACAGATGTATACAAACCTTTGGTGGTAATGAGCTGAACAAAAGTGTTTCTGTTTTAATTTTGTTATAAAAGTGCTTTTATTTTGATTTGTTTGTAAAAAAGCCTTTGAAAATTCACTGACCTGCACATACCAAAAATACGAATACTAGTGTGTTCAAATACTAAACTAGTAAAAAGTTCAAAATTCTATATGTCGTCATCATCCATTGTCCAACTTTTAGTTTTGACTTTTGTGTGCAAAGCACACAATGGGAGTAATTGTGGGAAGCCTGTCTGTATGTGTTCATGTATCTATATGTGTTTCACTTCCTTGTGGTCACTTGGATATGTTAACTCTGTTCAGTTACCAGTAATTTTTGTGCGACTGGCTTAGGTATTTTAAGAGATTTTGGTAAAAATGTACCTCATTGGTTTAAAATGGAATAGTATGTAATTGAAGAACACTCTTTCCATGAAACCAAATCTTGGGCATAGAGCTGTTTTAGCTTAACTAAATGGTGTGTGTCTGCACCTGTATCTCAGACATGACTGGGTTAATTTTACACAAACATCACATCATACATATCACATGCATTTTTTCATGGTTCAATTCAATATAGCTGAATGGCAGGCATTGCAGTGCTAAAAATTTAGCAAAATTAGGTATTTCTTCCATTCTGGAACTGGATCTCAGTCTTGCCTGGACATTACATTCAAACTTTGTATGTATGTTAAACAAAATGGGTTGATCCTTGATACATGCCATTTTTTTCTTCCAGGTTTGATTCATAATGGCTGACTGATGGCCATTTTGCTTTTTTTTAAACAAATGCCGTTTTTGGAGCCATATGCTAACATGACTGCATTGCTCATGTTCGAACTTTACACATACATCATGTACCGTAACACATTTGCATATGCATCTGTTTCAGAATCCGCTTCAAAATGGCTGATTGTCATTTTCATGCTAGAAAAGCATTATGTCTCGCATGAGTGTAAATAATTATGTATTGTTTGTTTCAGGACTGCCTTGTTGATAGTTGGATTTTTAAGCGTTGTATCAAGTCAGTACGATGTAAGAAAGCATCTAAGAATAAATACAAAACAATTGAAAGGGAATTAATGGCCAATCCAAGCTGGCCTCCAATCAATACTTTCATTATGTCTTCTGATATGGAGATTAGCAGCGAGGACGTCACCGAACTGTTGCCAGATAGTAATTTAATCCAATAAAATGAATACATACAAATTCATTTATCATAGATACAGCGCACAAGTCATGTTGATTGACCAATCAATGAAGTTTTATTTATTATGTGTATATATGGATATATATTTGATTAGCTGAAAGTGCTTATCACATGTTCATAATCTACCAATCAGGGTCATTGTTACATTCATTTGTTTAGTATTTGAATGTAAGGGTAAATTTGATTGGACACTCATCATGTGAATCATGTGTATATTAATTAAGCTGATATAGTGCAATACATTTATCGTTCACCTATTTTTTTTTTTTTACATTATTTACATTTTAAGTGTAACACAGGTAGAAATTATATTTATTTTGACATTGACCACTGTTCGTTCTTGGCACAATTTTTGAAAATTACAGTGTTTAATATGATTAATATTGCTGATAATTTTTTTTTTTCGTTTTTGATTCTGATTCTGAAAAAAATATTTTGTATATTAAATATCTAATTTGCTACTTGGGAGTTGAGATCTCTTTTGAAGTGACCTTTAAATTAAATTTGTTTACATTTGAATCTACTTATCACTACCATCCTGCCAAACATAATGGATACACCCTAACTTACTAGCAATTCTATTTTGCTGCCCCCCTAAGATAATAAACATTACCGGTATGTGCTTCCACTAGGATACTATATTACCAGTCATATTACCGGTTATTTAGCCATAGACAAGTTTCTTAAGTTTTTGATAATCAAAAACATTTACAGTAGGGAACATTTTCTTAAGATAGGGAATCACAGTGACTTCTTTAAAATGTGATCATGCGTTTGCCATTATCCAATCATGCACATGTAGCGATAATTTTAGCGATTTACAGTAACTTTTCACTTAAACTGAAAACATTTCTTCCCAATGTTTGTTTGCCGTGTAACTTTTGACTTCAATCATGTAAGATAATTTGACTAATGATGTAATCTGTATTATGAATACATACCAGTATGGTCACAACAACAACAAATGTTGAAATTATTTCTTTCATATTATTTTGGCAAAAAATCAACAAATTGCATGTGCATAATAGAGCAAATACAATTACCAGACTGTTACCAAATTCACATGGTATGTAAACCGCATTAAATGTGCATATTTTTATGAACATGTTTGTTTCTTCATTGTAAAAAGTGTTGTGGAACTCAATGACGACTTTATTGTTTTGCATTTTTTTCTCTCAAACAGACGTAATATTTCTCCAAGACCGGCGCTGTGACTGAAAAAAGTAATTTGCAAAAATTGTTCGTGGATGCTAGGATGGTTACGATTTTAAACCCCCAAAAAATTTTCTTTTCTGAGGTGGTCCTCGAGTATAAGCTCACCCCCTAATTTTTGTTGATTAGTTGAATGTAAAATATAGGAAAAAAGGTATATTCGCTGGATTTTATTTTCACTGAAGCATCCTTCCAGCGAAAATAAATTCCACATGAAAATAAATTACTTTACAGTATCTCCTGGAAATGAACAGTAATAATTATTAGTACTTTTACATTTACAATGCTTGTAAGAAAATTGCCTCCTAAATTACAGAATTTGCTCTATTGGTAGCACATGCGTTCACATAAATTAAAAAAAGGTGTATTTATGGGCATATTTTAGTTAATCATGTATAAAATAAATTCAACTGTTTATATGCATGTAAAATGAAGCAAATCTGGTATAGATATTTAATAATTACGTGATAATCTTTCTTATAAAAGATAATGTGTAGTGTAATGTGTTTGAATATGAAATTGTATTTTTGTATTATATAATACTTGTATGGTTGATGCCCAAAGTAGCAACCATTTTAAATAAAAATCTGTGTGCAGTTTTATCTTAAAAACAAAAACTTGATGACCTCAAGCTGATTTGGAGCCCTTTCAAATAATATTGTTGCAAATGCCATGATATGTCTTATACTATATACATTGAAGTCTACAAACAAAATGTATATGTTAAACCGGGAGAGTTGTCACCTGTGCACGTGCGGGAATTGAGTTCCAAGCGGCGATAATGCGCACTAAAAACGTAAAGACTCATGGGTAGACGCGCTATGGCAATCTGCAGCTTGCGCAGGTGACGACTCCCCTGCTTTAAAACAATTTTAATTTACACGCATGTCAGGCTTATTTAAGGTTGATTTGTACAGTTTCACGAACATGGATGGATGAATTTGAAATGGAGAATCGTGTGAGAATAGTTTTACTGAATTCTGCCATATCTTTTCATATCAGTCCAGGACCCTCTTTTTTTTTAAAAAAAAACAATACAAATCCAGCCACATTGTTTCATTATCTTGTGTTTCTGAAAAAGACGAATATTTTCATAATTGAACAGGTCATGTTAACCCCAAATAATACTGGTTAATCTCTAAAATATGATAATATCCCCAATTTTTTTCCTCACATGACCTTGTTATAGCAATAATCTATTTACAATACATTAGAAAATTTCCAAACTTTCAAGAATCTGTATTAATCAACCATTAAAAAAACCACCATGCTACAAAGTGTGCCACAAATTTGATATAAACAATGTGTTTTACTTTCATTGTATATGTAGCATGGAACCCACACCTGTGATATGCCAGGATGGCATCAGCACTTAATTACGTTACACTGGTCACTAGCAAACATTTAAAATAGATGCACTTGTCAATGTAAATACGACTGATTTTTTTTAAATTAAGTATTCATATTAGAAATGGTTATGGGTAAATAAATAAAAGTGAAAACCTGAATTTGTCTTGTGTGATATCTGATGATTTCAGATTGAATTCTTTATTATGCCAGATGTTTATGCGAATAGAAAAAAAGTACATTTCAGTTTGGAGTTCAATGAAAGGGCGGCGGTCGTCGTCGTGTCGTGTCGTGTTCTGTTCGATAGGGGACTCATAGCAACGTATACAACGTGTGTAAAATACATTGTTTACATGAAATTCAAACACGCGCTGCGCTTCGACCACTGCGCTTTAAAGAATACATGAAGATGATAACATAGTACATTAGCTGTGTTTTATCTCCCATATATTAAGTATAGCATAATAAATTATTTTGGTAAACGTGTACATTGAACTTAAATCTTGTGATATTAAATAAATCTTTAAAAAACAAATTTAAAAAAAAGGATTAAAACCACATCGCTGCATCATTTTGAGCTCCGTTGTCGACTTTGTCGAGCGGAGCTTATCATATGAGTGATTGTCCGTCGTCCGTGTCAATGTTTTACTTTTTCGACTTCTTCTTGAAAACTACAAGCCTGAATGCTTTGATACTTGGTGCATATGTACCTTGGGTGGATCTCTCTTGGGTTTGTTCATTTCTTAATATCTTCAATTTTGGTGAATATTTTTGTCATTTTTGGTAAAAAGTGATATTTTCGACTTCTTGTTAAAAACCGCAAGTCCAATTGCTTTGATATTTCATATATAGGTACTACATGTGGACCTCTTTCAGATTTGTTAATTTCGTGGTGATATCTTCAATTATCTAATTTTGATGATTGTTTTTGTCATTTTCGATGAAAAGTGATATTTTTGAATTTTTGTTGAAAACAGCAAGTCCCATTGCTTTGATACTATACATATTGTTCATTTTCTAATGATGTCTTCTGTTTTTTAATTGAAATGTGCATTGCTAACAGCGGCGCTATCTCAGCCGACTGGCTGCTTGTTCTATTTTCACTGGGACGAAAAGCAAAATTCAGATCAAGAACAATCCAGTACCAGTATTTTTGTACCGCTTAGTTGGCGACAAATTACGTGTATACTGAGACAAAATACACATTCATTGGAAATGTCAGATTTATACAAACTATTGTTAACCATGGTGTTCTCCTAAGGCATCGATGTGCTACATTAAACAACAACTTTGTTTGGATCATTCCTTGACAAGTTATGCCTAATTTTATGTTACAACTTTTCAGTTTCACTAAACCCTAATCAGACTTGACCACGTTTGATTTGTATGGTCCGCTCTAACGATAGATCAACCATACAAGAATATACTAGAGTACTGTAAAGGGGATAATTATTCACTGGGTTTTAATTTAGCTTACTTCCCTGACTGGAAAAATGCGCTAAATTAAAACACAGTGAATATGTAAAATTTAGCATAGAACACATTATCTAAATGACGAAACCGTGAATTTAAAACCCACTGAATATGCCTGAAATGGTAAATCAGTGAAATTTAAACCCAGTGAAAATTAGTCATTTTACAGTATGCAAAAGAAAGAAAACAATTGTCACTCTTGCCCAAACATCATTTCCGCTTCCGGAACTCCATGAAACGAGATTGTGCCACTCCAAGCTCCGTATGTAACGATGAGTATTACAAACTTGTCAACAAATGCAAACAACATCTGGTTCTATCATATTTATCTGAACTACTCAGTATAATCATTCATTCACCACAACCCGATTTTCCCACAGTACGCAATGGATTATTTCAATACCGTATAACCACCACTGTCAATACCTTAACAGTGTGTTTTGTGATAAAGTTATAATCATGTCTTTGTTTAATAAAGATATGTTTCGTGTTTTATAACTTTGTGGTGTGCACGTACAACCATTTAGAGACATACTGACGTCTGGCTATTTTTAATAGTTACTTAGGACTACGATTACTGAATATTATTTCCTATATATCATATTTATCAGTTCGAGCAGTGTTTATTAGTTTATTAATTTATTAACTACTTTTACAATCGGAAACTAAATATTGGCTCACTGATAAATAAATGGATACGTTCTAAACATCGAAATGTTGCAAAATGTGTAAAAATAATTCATTACTAAGTACTTCAAACAAATACTGTTTGTTGTGAAGAAGAGTACAGATGACGTGTCAACCTTAATATTCCTGATATGCAACAGAGATACAATAATTTATGTTATTGTTGTTCGATACTGTTGATCAAATCAGGTTATAATTTATCGTGAACTAAAAATGTTGCGTTTGCATAATAGGCATGTGCAGTGATTGTTATTGTACGTACCAAAACAGCCAGCCAGTGCGCATGCGCATATATGTATATATATCAATATACATTCAATACTGGAAATTACATGTTGTCGTCTATCATGATAATGTCTCTTTAACTCGTCAAGTGCTATATTTTGCTTTCCAAAATGTTGGAACACCATTTTGCACATTTTTGTGTATTTTATTACAATACCCTTGTTCACTTCGAGATCCCGCGTTATGCGTTAAATCGAACGTAAACTTAGGATAAAAAAGATCATAGCTTCGTTTTGACATCAAAATTTCGCGTTGGATTTGATAAACGTGTAGCATTGTTTAAGTAATAATGTGCTATAAATATTTGATGGTAAATTTTGCTGAAGTAAGTGTGTGTCAACATAATATTCCCTTCTGGAAGCTTTGCATTTCGACATTGAACTTCAACTATAACAAAACAAATCATGTTCAAAATCAGATCATTCGATTTTTGTAGCGGAAGTTCGATCCGCGTCTATCACGCTTTATACGAGATCTCGTAATGAACGACAAATCATATATTAAACACTACTACTCACAGCATTTTCCTAAAAAAAATGCACTATGACGTAATTTGTAGAACAAATTGTCAACAATATTTATGTAGTACTATGTAAAACCCATGTACATCATACAAATTATGGATACAAATATTCATAAACCGCGTTTCAGTGTTTCATTTTAAATTATCTGATCTGACTCGGCAGGAAGTGTCTCCACCCAGTATAAATTAGAATAGCAACGTCACGAGGTCGTAAATTGTGCAGCGGCCGTTTATACGTAGTTCGGTTTAGGAATAATGCAAAACGTACATGGCCCTGTTGACTCCAGTGTATCGGCGGGACTTGTTAGTGGTGTTATAATCTCATAACATATTTAATTTGTTCATATATTCTTATACGCTTTTTAAAGGCTTCGAGATACTAGTATATCAGCTTTTAACAGATTAGGACACTCTCGTTAAACCTGTTTTTTTAATACTAAATGCTAGTACTACAGTGAATTAGAAAGATGAGAAACAAGGACAATATACTAGAGAAAAAAAAACTGTAGACATATTTAGAAACTAAACTTTTCTGTGATAATACGGTAAAAGGCAGAAAGTTGTACCTACGTTTATAAACATATTTATAACAATTTGTGAATGCTGGTCATCAGCTTTCACTTCCACTTTGGCTACGTCCATAACTTATCCAAAATGGAGGCTGATTGGATGATG